CAGAGAGAGAGAGAGAGAGAGAGAGAGAGAAAGAGAGAGAGAGAAACGAGAGAGAGAGAGAGAGAGAGAGAGAGAGATGTAGAGGAGAGGCAGAAAAAGGGGGATGGGGTGGGGGTAGAGAGAGGCATAATTCTATATAGATGCATGTAGAAAAAAAAAATTAATTAAAATAGAATCGTTATAGAAAAAATGGCAGACAGATCCCGAGATTTGCTTGGTGTGGTTTGATTAACATTTTACAGTCTTTTAAAAAAAAGTTTTATTGTGTGTAGATTTCTAAAGCCAATAATTCACAGGCAGCTATAGAGGACATACAAAGGAAAACAGAATCTATAGCAACATATAATAAAATGTGATGGCTTTGAGCTTCTTGTGGTGGTTATATCCAAAGCAAATATTACCTGTAGTTGGGGGTGGAGGGGGCACTGAAATGAAAACAGAGGTAAAGGTAAGAATTCCGCCGACAATGACTATGAAATGTCAAATAAGCATCTGGAATATAATTTTGCAACATAAAAAGCAGGTCTAATTCTGCAACTAAAAAATCATCTGAAATAAAAATTCTGCTACACGAAAAAAATGTGTTACGACGCGGTGGAATCAGGTGCTCGTCAAAATAATGAAAACAAACAAATCGACATTTTACCACCCGTTAGGCAATTTTTATCCACACTTTTTCGTCCAGTCATTCTACTTCCATTTAAAATATATTTCTCGTGGATTTTTAATGAAAATTTTGACCAAAGGCACACAAAATGTAACGTTAGTTTCCAAGGACAATACAGCTTTGGGGAATCACAAACTCTGGCAGCCATTTTCTCGCTAATTTTACCTAAGATACCACGCAACCCCACCTTCTTCAATGACGAATATCTTGACTTCTACTCAAGATAGATAGGTTTGTTTTTTTTAAAAACAATTTAAAGCAAAAAATTTTTTTTTTAATTAAGGGGAAACGAATACGTCTGACTCCATATGCCCGTAAAATGACGAACGCCTGATTCCACGCGCCATGACACACATTTAGAATCGTCACGTAAAGGTATTGTAGACAAAACGTGCTGTAACCTGGCAGGATAAATATCGTGGCACAAAGGTCCTCACTCTTACAGAGCTGCATAGCACCTACATCCTACTCAGGAAAGCCTTTGTCAGACGCGCAGGCTGCCTTGCTGTGATACATGACATAGAATTACAAAGTTGTATATGCTAAACACTCCGTTTTGATATATTAAATATAGTAATTTTGACGTCAAAAGTTTTGAGTTTTACAACATTTCAAGATTTTTGGAATGCAATTCTTTAAATATCTTGATAACTATTTCGAATAATCTTACCCTTTTGATAGAGCAGATAGAATATTTGCTTTCTGAACTCATGATCATAGTAACTCAAAATGGCCAAAATATCAGATAGAACATTGTAATCCTGAGGTAGCGATACGTCTTCCTACAAGACTGTTGTATGGCGAAAATAAGGAGGGCAAATTATGCATAAGGGGTGGATGGAAAAGCTCTTCATGCATACACACACACTGAAGGGCTTTGGATTTACCCAGAGTCTTGGGAAATCGAAGCGCAGACATATCATTTTTATTGGGAAAACCGCATTGTCTGCAACCTTACTACCTCTCTAGAAAGCGCTCATATGACCTTAGCAGTTGCGAGCGCCGTAAAACCTTATACTACTAACTAACTAACCTCTCTAGAACGGTGAAATGGTATAGGTTTAACGCCATTATCAACACTATTAGGTTCTTCAAGAGGCAGGACCTCCGAGGTTAACGTCCATCTCCCGAAAGGGCCGAGCCAAATGGGGAAATTCGTGTAAAGTGCCTTTCCCAAAGACACAACATGGAACCTAGCTGAGGCTCGAACCCCTGAACCCACTATCTCATGATTACGAGTCCGGTAGGCTATTCACAAGGTAGGCCACTGACGCCGCCTTACCAGAGCGTAATTGTGTATTATAATTTTGATAATTCTCACCATTTTGGCACGTTTTATTGGCCACATCAAGCCGTATGGCCCTGAGTGCGTCGAAATCGTCGACTTCAAATATATCTTGTAGAGAGGTAGCCATCTGTTCCAGTTCTGGTCTGTGTGCAGACTGTGGAAAGGGGGGGGGGGGGTTAGAAAATAACAAGAAGTGAAGTGTAGGAAATGCGTGCAGCTATTTGTGTTCGTGCTTTAGTGTAAGGGAGATAACGGGATAGGGGATTAAAGGGATGAAAGAAAGGAGATTTCTAGAAAAAAAAGTAGAGAGGTGAGAGGGAGAGGGATAGGGAGATAGAGAGAGGGAGAGAGAAAGATAGAAAGAGAGAAACCGACACACAGATAGACAGACAGACAGACAGACAGACAAAACAGACACAGACAGATACAGAGAGACACAGAGAGTGACAGAGACAGACAGACAGACAGAGAGAGAGAGAGAGAGAGAGAG